AGCCCTTTTCAGGCTCGGGCGTCTTGCGCGCCCCGCTGCCGCGCGCGTGGCCGGCCGCCGAGCCCGCCTCCGAGGAACGATGCCGCGCCGCAGCGGCCGCCCGCTCCGCCGCACCGCCATCGCCGCGGCGGGGCTCGCGCTGGTGGCGCTCTGGGGGCGGCCGGGCTCGGTCGCCAGCGTGGACGCCAAGGACGTCCTGCGCTACCCCGTCGGGCTGCGCCACTCCCTGGCCGCGGACAACGGGCGGTTCTCGGTGCACGGCATCTCGCAGGGGGAGGGCCAGTGGGCCCTGGCCCTCTCGGAGGGGGGCTCGCCCGTGGCCGCAGTGCAGAGGCTGGGCGGCGGCCCCGCCAAGTACGCCGTGTCCTACGACACGGACAAGGTCAGCCTCAAGCCCAGGCTCGCCGCGGCCGTGCAGGGGATCCGCTTCTCGGCCACGGGCACGGAGGAGGGCGGCCTGGACAGCGCCGACTGGGCGCTGCAGGTGCGCGGGCAGAACGGCAACCACCTCTCCGCGACCACGGACGGCGGCGAGGTGGTCTACGAGGGCTCGTACACCCACGAGGAGCCCGTCGCCAAGGGCCTGAGCGCGATGTACGCGGTGGACATGAAGAGGCGCGCGGGCGACGCCAACGCGGCCCCGAGCTGGATCCGCCACGGCGTGGGCCTGCGGTACGCCTCGGAGCTCGGGGACTTCAAGGCCAACGTGCACCAGCCCAGCCCCGACGGCCCCAACGACGACCTGGAGTTCGAGGCCATCTACAGCGGGGACCTCGCGGGGCCCCCGGGCTCCCCGGCCTACGCCCTGGTCGCCAAGCGCGCGATGGGGGAGAGCGTCGCGTACGAGGGCCGCGTGAGGCTGCAGGGGCCAGAGGGGGTCTCGGGCGGGCTCTCCGTGGGGCTCAGGGACGGGAAGAGCAACGTCACCGGCTTCGCGGACCTCTCCGCCAGCAGGCAGGTGGCCGACGGCCTGACGCTGAGCTCCTCCACGCGCCTGGTGGCGTCGCCGGACGGGGCCGAGCTGCGGCCCATCGACTTCAGGGCCACCGCCGACCTCGCCGCCCTGGCGCCGGGCTTCATGGGCGCGGGCTCCGAGCTCTCCGCCGCCGCCCGCTACAAGCTCGGAGACGCGAAGCCGCAGCTCAGCGCCGGCGCCACGCTGAAGCCCAAGCCCCTGGGGCCCCTGCAGCTCAGCGCGTCGGGCCGGGTCACGGAGGACGCGCTGACGGGCTCGATCGCGGCCGCGGCGCGGGTGATGGACGTGGACGCCTCGTACACTGCCAGCAAGAGCAGCAAGGGCTCGCGCCACGTGGGACAGGCCGTCTTCCCCGCCGAGGCGGCGACGCACAAGAGCGGGCAGCCGCTGCCGCGGGCGTACGCGCGCGTCACGCAGAGCCCCGAGGACCACGACGGCAAGCCGCGCGTGCAGGTCGGCATGATGTACGACTTCAACGCGGGGGGCACGAAGCTCACCGGCCAGAGCAACCTCTACGACAACGGCGACAAGCTCGTGGACGAGTCGGGCAGGCCGTGGCCGGGCGCCGTGTACAACCAGGCGAAGAACACCGCGGACGTGCTGCGCAGGCGCATTGGCGGGGACTCCGCCGAGGGAACGCGGTGGCTCCGGAAGAGCTTCTGAGGAGAGCGGGGCCCGCGGGCCGCGGGGCGCCCAGGGGCCCGCCACCCAGGGTCGCGCGCCTCGGGCGTCTGGCGGGCTGCCCTCTGGGCAGAGGAGCTCCCAGACGGAGCTGCGGCGATGCGAGCCCCGACGCGGCCTCTTGGGGGGCGGCCGGGCCGACCTGCGGTGCGGGTGTTCCACCACCACACCATAGGTACAGCAGGAGAGGGAGGAGTACGAGGAGGAGGAGGAGGAGGAGGAGGAGGAGGAGGACCTCCCCATCCTCCCTTCTCCCCTTCCTCCCCTTCCTCCCCCGTCTCACCGGTGGTAGTGGTGGTGGGAAGTGGGGGCCGCCATGCGGGCAGGCCGAGCCTTGCCGTGACGGGCCCCTCGCTCTCGCTCCAGGACGTGGGCGGGCTTGGGACCCAATCCCTGGGAGATTGCATGCAGCACCCGCAGTAGAGAAAGGGACCCATCGATTTCGACACCCCTCTCGAGAGGTCGTCGATGCGATGGGTTCCCCCAGGGGGGTAAGGACCACAGCTCCCCCAGTTATGGCTGGTCGGCACCATCCAGTTTAAGCCCATGTTATACGGCCTCATCGGGCCCTGGTCCTGGGCCTGATCCGGGCTACATGCCGGTCGTTGAAAGTCCGTATAGTTGGATGCTTGTATCCCGGTTTGCTTCGGGCGCCTTCCTACGTCAATAATCGAAATATTTTTGCAATGTCTTGCTACTCCCTGCGAGGGCCTGGGCCCAATCTGCTTGATCCGCCTGACGGGTAGCCATCAGGAACCGGAAACGAGGAGGAGGAGGAGATGGAGGAGGAGGAGGAGGAGGAGGAGGAGGAGGAGGAGGAGGACCTTCTCCTCCTCCCCCTTCCCCCTCCCCCTTCCCCGCCCCCCCCCCCTGAATCGGGATGGCTCCTGCGAGCGCCTCCCAGGAGGTGCCTCTTGAGGCCAGCGGCCGCCGAGGGAGCTTCGAGGGCGAGGGGGGGCCGCCGCGGGGGGGGCTCGCCGCGGAAGGGGTCGGCCCGGCCGCGCCCCAGGGCTTCTCGGGGGTGCGGGGTGCGGGGGGGTGACGTCACAATGGGGGGTGCAGGGGAGGAGGAGGAGGAGGAGGAGGAGGAGGAGGAGGAGGAGGAGGAGGAGGAGGACGGAGGGATCAAGTTAAGTTGGGATCTGCTTTCTCGCCCCCCCCCCGGGATCCGCCGGCAATGGCGGACGCATCCAATCGGTCCTCGCGCCGCCGTACGCCGGAGCGCCGTCGCTCGCCTGAGCGCCGCCGCTCGCCGGAGCGCCGCCGCTCACCAGAGCGTCGGCGTCGCAGCATGCGTCCCGAGAGCCCGAGCGACCGTACGACGAGGAACTCTCGGGGGTTGGCGGGGGGGCGCGCTGGGCGCCGCCCCCTGCGCGAGCGCAGCCGGAGCCGCAGCCACAGGTCGCAGGGCCTGCGCGTCGCCCCAAAGAGTCGCGCTGACCGGCGCCACCGCAGCCCTTCCCAGGGGGACTCGGACGACTACCCCCCGACCGAGGTGGCCCCAGAACCCCTCACGCTTGCGGACGTGGCTGGCCCCAACATTGATGGGGACTTCCTAAATCCGCTACCCCCGCCATCTTTTCTTCTTCCTTTGCCTCCCCCGCTCCTCTGCTCCCCCCTTCCTCCGCCCCCCCCCTCCCTGCTTGTTCCTTCCTTTGCTCTCGGAAGCAATGGCGGTGCATGCCACGGCACAGAGGTGGTTACCTCCCATGCGCTTTGCGCGTGCGAGCACACCTCGGCGTCGTCTAGCCAGAGCTGTGGACATCCATCCAACAGACACGACAAAAACATGCCAGATGGCTCCTCAGGAGGCTGGCGGAAGAACGATGCCAAGTGGTCAGGCGACGAGCCGGGCTCGCCACCACCGCCGCCCCCGCCTCCGCCACCGACGGCGCCCGCCGCGGCACCGCCGGAGCAGCCAAGCAAGGTCCGGGAGCCGGCGGTCTGGTCTTTCCTGGGCGGGCCCTCTCGGAACGAGTTCCGCGAGGCACTCAAGCAGGAGGTCACAGTCGCCGGCGAGCTCAACGGGTCCGTGGTCGCAGACCTCGCGACGCGTTTTACGATGAGCAAGTTCGTCGTTGCGGAGCTCTGCTGCTACCTGCAGACCCCCGGGGGCAAGGCCGAGCAGGGTGGCGACGACCCGCGACCCCGTATGGACGCGCGCAAGATGACGTCAGCCCACCTGTGGAGCTCGAGTGGCAGCATTGGCAAGGAGACGGTGGAGGGTGAGGCGGCTGTCCTGGCCACCCGCGAGTCCGAGGAACGCGACCGCGAGCTTGCCAAGGCCAAGGAGAAACTCACCAGCGTCCAGTCCGAGTTGGCCGAGGCTAAGGAGAACCTAAACAAGATCAAGGAGAAGAGGGACCAGCGGAAGATTGGCAAGGGCGCGGTGCTGCCGGGCCAATCAGGCCCCCCCCCGCAACCGGCTGACATGGTTAAGCTCCAGGCTAAGAGCGACCAGCTTCGTGCGCCAGCGCCAGGGCCAGCCCCAGCTGAAATTGACTTGGGCGTGGCGCTCCTCACGACGCAGCAGGCGCTGAAGGCCGCGTGCGAGGCGTACTACAACAAAGCGGCTAGGCTGGCCGCCAGTGGCAACACCCACTTCACCGTGTCCTTCGCTCCGGGCATCCAGGCGACGCGCGACTTTCATGAACGTGTCGCGGGGATGGGGGTCCACATCGTTGTGGACTCGGGCGCAGGGGTCGCGACGACGACACTCACCGTACCATTCGCCCACATCGGGGGAGACAAAGCCCAGCCCTGCCTGCAGGTGTATTGGCAGCTCACGCCGGAGGAGAAGACAAGCATCCAGTGGCGCCAGACGAAGAACGTGCTCACGGTCAAGGCCAAGAGGGGCGTCATCGAGAAACGTCTCGAGCTCATCCTGACCTTCTTCGGCAAGCCGCTCGAGGTGGACGGGTCCGCCCCCAGGCCCAAGGCGAAGCCCGCTGCAGGCATGAACATCATGGACGCGCTGCGCAGGTAGGTAGGCGCCGCATTGACTTGCCTTCTGAGCGGCCTTCCCCCGGCTGTGGAGGCGCACAGGCTTGCCAGTTGTAGCGGGTTTGCCCTTGCGCAATGAACAGTATAAGAACAGGGGGCCTTCGGGCAAAACGTGCAGAGTAGACAGCTGGGAAGTGCAGGATCGTGTCTGCCTTTGCGCCTTGCTGCGCTGCCTCCCTGCTCCCCTTTTTGCGCCGTGCTGCTCCCCCTCCCTTCTCCACCTCTTGCCCCCCGTCTTCCGCTGCCTCCCCCCTCTCTGTCCATGCCCTCCGCCCATGCCCTCCCCGCCCCCGCCGTTAGCACCGGGGGGGGCCTCTGGCGACCGCGCCATGGCCGTCACTGCGCGATTGGTTGCTGCAGCGCGGGCATTCTCATCCGCAGGGGCCCATTACGGAAGACGGTAAGGAAGTGCATGCCCCTGCGCGCCAGCGTTTTTGTTTTGCTTTGCATGCATTGTCTTGCTTGATATCACCTGCCTCCTGGCAGGACAGGAAAGGGGGAGAGTGCTGTAAGTGATCAGCAGCGCAGCAGGTGAGCATGAAGTGGCGCAAAGTGGGATGTGGGGTAGTGAGTGCGGGGGATGCCCATCCGCAGCCGCCCTCTCAAACATCCCCCCTCCCTCCCACCCTCCTTTTCTTTCCTTTGCTTCCGTCTCTTCCCCTGTCCTCCTCCTTCCTCTCTCCTCTCCCCTCGGCGTGTCGCACATTAGTGGGTGGACGCCGGCGTGTCGCAGGGTGTGGTTTTACAGTCGTCGGACGACGGTCTTGTTGCAATTGTTCCGATAGATTTGTGCCACATTTTTGCACCTCCTCTCCCCGTCCCTTTCCTTCCGCAGGGCCTCCTCCTGCCTCCCCACGCTCCGTCGTCTCATTGTGCTTATTGTGCATCTTTCCCCACATCCATATCTCATTTTCTCGTTGTCGTTTTTCGACCGCCGGTCGCATGTTGGAGGGTCGCCGAGAGCCGTCCGGGGGCCGCCTTGGATCGTCCCGTCCCGGCGCAGCACGCTCCCGCCTTGGCTCTGCACGCTCCCGCCCTGGCGCCGCACGCGTGCTTAGTGACCGGCCGCCGACCGACCAATGGGGGGGGTCAATTTCGTTACCAGCGCCACCCGTGCGGAGTGGCGGGCCGTCGACCTTGTCACGGAATACCCCCCCCTCCGCCTGTCGTTATTCGGCCACCGGTCGAATGTTGGAGGGTCGTCGAGAGCCGTCCGGGGGCCGCCTTGGATCGTCCCGTCCTGGCGCTGCATGCTCCCGTCCTGGCGCAGCACGCTCCCGTCCTGGAGCTGCGCGCTCCGCGCTTAGTGACCAGCCGCCGACCGACCACTGGGGGGGGCAATTTCGTTACCAGCACTACCCGTTGACATCGTCGATACTGTACGGGAATTTAAGGGGGTACTGGCGCGATCGGGAATTTAAGGGGGTACAGCTCCTGACCCTTGAACCCTTGAGCCAAAATGGCTACGGGGGGGTCAATTTCGTTACCAGCACCACCCGTGCGGAGTGGCGGGCCGTCGACGTTGTCACGGAATACCCCCTTCCGCCTGTCTTTATTCGACCGCTGGTCGAATGCTGGAGGATCGTCGAGAGCCGTCCGGGGGCCGCCTTGGATCGTCCCGTCCTGGAGCTGCGCGCTCCGCGCTTAGTGACCAGCCGCCGACCGACTTCTGGGGGGGCACAATTTCGTTAACAGCGCCCCCCGTGCTGATCACAGGACCAGGCGCGAAGATAGACAGGTGGGTGGGGATGGGAGGGGACATTCGTTGAATTGCCATTATCTAACTAGGTTTGGGGGGCGGTGGCCAGGATTTTATTGCATCCCGACCGGCGCCGGTTGGCTCGGGCCTGGGCTTGCCATCCCTGGGCGGGGCGGGGAAGGCCCGCCTAGCATGCGCGGCGCGATGCATGTCCAGCGCCGAGCGATACAGGTATAGTCCTGCCCGCGTGCGCGCGCCTCTGCGTGGCCACTGGTGTCGAACGTCACCAACCCACCCAGCGGCCCTTGCCCATGGAAGGCCTCCGGCATCTGCTCACAACCTGGCAGGATGGGCGCCCGCGGAAGTGTGAGCGGGCAGCGTTCCAGAAGGATGTGGCGGCGCTCCTCGAGCTGCAGCCGGACAGGCCTTCCCGCCTCCAGCCTGTAGGAGGTGCAAGCATCCGGGCACTGGCTGACATCGCGGACGATTTCGGCCGCTTCTTGAAACAGGAGGCGATCCGAGGGATGCAGGGGGCGGGCAGGAACCAGCCCATTGTGTCACCCTACGCGGGTGGACCGCGGGTTGGCGACGCGGGGGCCGAGGAAATAGCCACGACACCACTTCAGACAGAAGGCCTCACGATTGGCCCCATGAACCCCGGGGTTGTTGGCCTTTCCACGCTGGGGACGAATGAACTTCTGTATTGGCGCCTCTGGGGGATATCGGCAGCGCTGCAGCAGAACAGAGTACACATATGTGTGATCCCCGGGGCACGTTTCCCACCTGGGGCACGACTGCCTGGCAACTTCCCGTACGCATGGGTCGGCAAGCAAACGTCATCATATGCATCGGCCGGCTTTTTCATTCTAGCGGAACTTCTGCCGGCAATGAGCTCCATCGAAGGGCATTGCGGTGAGAGGTGGCATACCCTTAAAGTGCGGAGCCCGAGCGCCACCAATGATTGCCCCTGCACATATATTTATGGATTCTATGGCGCCCCAGGGGGCGACAGAGACACCTGGGGTGCTGTTATTCGAGCCCGTGCGATTCTTTCAGCTGCTGATCCACATGCGTGGCACGTATTATTTGGCGACGGCAGCGCGCATTGGGCCCGCTTCCTAGACCATGCGCCTGGCTGTAAATGCGCCCACTGCGCGCAGTCCACTGCGGACAGGGCCGTGCAGGCGATGGCCACCGAGGCTGGGTTGGAGCTACTGAACCCCCGTGTACCTACACACGTGTCAGGCACAACGGTTGACGTAGTCTTAGCCGCGAGCAATGTGCCCATGCAGGTCCGCGTCTTGGACATGTTCGTAGCGGCCTCGGACCACAAAATGGTATTCGGCAGTCTCCCGCATAATCTGACCCTTCGATATGACGCAGTTGTCGGCCGGGTGTCATGGGCATCAACGGAAGAATGGGATGCAGCACTTCATACAGTCGCACCTCTTTTGGATTTGCTTGCTGACGCAATAGGCCCGCTCCAGTGTGACCCTGTCCTGGCGCCGCCAATGCTGGGGGGGACCTCGTCGAAAAAGGTGAGGCGCGGCATCTTGGACTGTGCTGCCTGGTGCCGCGACGTCGTGATGGTGGTTGCCGGCCACGCAGCAGGCGCGGTCAAGGTTGCGGCTCCGCGGCAGCGCGCGCCCAAACGAAGGGCGCCAGGGCCTTCCCCAGATGGTTTTGAAACTTTTGCGGAGTTTAAGCAAGCAGCTGAAGAGGCAACGTGGGCCACGCGACGGGCGACGTTCCAAAAGTACACCGCGCTCCGAGAGAGTGACCCAGGTCGAGCGGAACGGTTCCTATCCTCTTGGTTCCGGGGGAGCGCGCCTGTCCAAGTAGCACTCGACGACCCGACGACGGGCGAGGCCATGTCGCAGGAGCAAATGGCGCAGGCATTCGTGGAAGACCTATTCACCCGCGCGCAGAACTCATTCCCGCAGAACGAGTCCGATGCTGCTGCCATGAATCGGGAAATCTGCGAGGTGCGGAGAACAGGCGCCACGCCGGAGGGCACGCTCACAACCACTAACAACGGTCCCTACACAGCAGAGGAGATCACCAATGCCATCTCCCGTCTGCGGGAGAGCGGGGGTGGTCTCGGCTGCGCCACGGCAGCCCTTAAATCGTCGGTCCTGGCAGGCAGGAGGGCGACAGCTTGCCTGGCCAACTTGTCCCACCATATGTGCCTCACATCGTCATTGTGGTCACTGCGGAAATATTCGCCCCGACACAAATCAGGCCCGCGCATTGTACGTTCTGCAAGCTGCCTCCGGCCCATCAGCATATGCTCGGACTTCGCTCAATTCCTGGACGCACTATGGGTTGAAAGACATTTTCCATGTATCCAGGACTACTGCGGTGACAGCCAGGTCGGGGGAATATCTGATCCAATTTCGCTCGTACTGGCCGTGGTCCTCCTTGGAGAAGTGCGGTCATATTTAGTCCTAGCCACTTATCTAGCATTTATTGACCTCAAATGGGGCTTTGATGTCGCAGGCCACAATGGTATGTTGTTGGGCACTTATAGGGCAGGAGTACATGGGCGCGCCTGGCTGCGGCTCGACGACGTTATGCAGCAAGACGCGCAGGTTCTGGAATTACACGGGCTTCTCTCCACAACATTCGTCCTAGCGTGCGGCACGGCACAAGGGCGCCGCTTCTCTGTTCCAGCATTCAACGCCCTCCTCCGGGACCTGCGAAACGAGGTAGAGGCGGCGTGCCCGGGTGGGGCGCGAGCAACGCCGCCGGCTTGGGCCCGCGCAGCCATGCTTGAGGCCCACGCCCGGCCCCCTGCCGAGCTACTTGCCGAGGCCCCAGCAGGGCGCGAAACGATCTTAGCGAAGGCGCAGCAAGTTTGTCAACAGGTGGCCGTGGCAGAGAGGAGCAGCCGGTGCCCGGTTGCGGCTGCGGCGGCAGCCCTGGCGCAACTTCCGTCGCTCTCAGACCGCATCGCGGTCGTCGAGAGTGCGGGCCGCCACGGATTGGTCATGCTACAGTACATCGACGACGGGGTGGCGGCCTGCCCGTCGGCGGGGGCGACCAGGGCCATCCTGGACCAGTCCATTTCTTCTGCCACGGTGAAGTATGCTGCGAGGCATAAGGCTGCCTTCAATTTCGGCCCCGGGAAAGCCGAATGCCTGGCGGTGCACGGCAGCCCCATGGTTCGATTCCACTGGCATGGGATTCGACCTCGTGCTGACGCACAAGATGCTGGGTATCACCCTTGACGCGGAGCTGTCCTTCGCCCCCCACGCGAAAGCTACCATGGCCATGGGGCGCTCCTTGTTCGATGAGCTTTACCAAGCAGCGGAGGCGGGCGGGTTTCCGGTTCGTGTCCTAGCTGCCCAGGTGTTGATCAGAGTTGTTCCCGCAGTGCTGGCAGGTGCTGCCGTGCTGGCCGCCGTGCCCAACATTGAGAGTGATCTCAATAGTTTGCAAGCGTACTGGGCCAGGGCCACCTTAGGGCTGCAGACGTGGCCCGCGGCTGAACTGGGCACTCTCGCGCCTTCAGTGCCAGTGGGACCTGAGGCTTGGAACGCTCATGATCCTGCAGGTGGTCATGGCACGCGCCAGGCTCTGGGTCCTCCCGGTGGGACACCCGGCGACGGCGATGCGGGATGCCGCGCGCCAGTCGCCGGCGCCCTCCTGGTGGCGTGCGGCTGGCCAGCTCATGGCCAGCATGCCGAACGGGCCCATTCGGGACATCAGCGCCCATGAGGGGTTCACAGAGGAGGTGGTCGCAGCCCGGTCTTCGCCAGCATCCCGAAGGTCGCTGCTACGGCGGTACCGCCAAGAGGTGGCACTGCCAGCCCTGCGCGCCTATGACCAACCATCGGTAGATGCGGCGGCTGACCGTCCATTGCCATGTCTGGGGCTACGGTTTCGCAGCCTCATGCCGGCCATGCAGCGAGGCACGCAGCAAGACATGTTTGAAGATCATGGAGGAAATCTGTATTATAGGCTCTGGGCAGTATGCAGGGTGACTGGCCGCTGGCCGCTGCCAGTCCTAGGTGGTGAGGACGCGCCGCTGGTTCTGCCGCGCTGTGGTGCATGTCCCAGCACAGAGGTGGACGTCTCCCATGCATTGCTTGCGTGCGGGCACACCTCGGCGTCGCGACGCCAGCTGTGGACATCCATCGACGGCGGGGCGCCTACGACGCGGCAGGCGGCGCTCCTGGCCCTACTTGGCCCGGTAGCGACCGCCGACTGCATCAAGTATGTAGGCTGGGCGCTGGTACGCTGTGCAGGGCGGCGCTGAGCACCTGGCAGCGGTTGGCGGATGAAAGACTCCGGCCTGTGCCCCTGCCAGGTGCGGCCTCCCCGCGCCCCCCCCCGCCCGGCCCGCGGCCGGAGCGCCCGCCGGGCGCAGGGCGCGCTGGGGAGACCACTGCGGAGAAACCGAGAAACCGAGAAACCGAGG